GGTGCGAATATGTCGATGCCATAACTTTCCCTAAGTACCTGTGGCAGAAAAGAAATAAACTGCAAATTAGTGTGTTGAGGCATAATAATGCAATTTGATTCAGAGAGCTGGAGGAGAGGGAAAGAAAACAAAAGGGAGGTTGGTGAGATGAGGTAAGAAAGGACGTTGTTGCATAAAGGAGAAACGGATGGAGGAGGAAGTAATAAGAGCAGCAACAGAAGTTGAGTCCTCAAACTAAATTTGGCAGATTGGATTAAGTCCAGGTCAATAAATAAAAGCTACTGCAGAAAGAGGAACATTGTAAGGTTGACTTGTACTCATCTCCAATGCTGAGGACACACCGCCTCCCAGTGGTGATGGTAAGATTTCAAACAGAGGTGTTCACACAGTAGCACATAATTAAACAAATATGATTATGCATATTAACAGTAACTACTGGCACCTCTGTGTTGGAACCTGGATATGTATCAAATGTTGATACTATATTACGATGTTAAACTCTGTCTATCTGTCTAAAAATAATTCCAGAAATCAGAAGTCTGTCCGTGGCTTGCATATCTCAAGATCTGCTCGTTTTATTGGCTTCACACTTGACATGTGTATTGATAAGGGTCCACAGAATCCATACAATTTGAATAAAAAGGTGAACAGCTCCTTGTGCAGCAGCGGTGGTGCAGCTTCAGGGTTCTGTCCTGCAGCCGCTCTTTACTTGCTGAGGCTTAAGAACTGCAGGTCACTTATACAAGTTTAAGAAAGACAGCTGCAGAGGCCACAGGCCGAACAAACAGTCCATTCCAATCAGACATGTTTAGAATCAGTGCTGCAAAAATCATTGTTTCAAATCATTGTGCACAATCACACGAGGTGTTTCAGCAGCACACATTACACATGTGGAATAATATACATGCATGTTCAGACCTTTATAGCTTACATGTGGAAATGCATTCTGTCACTCTACATGAGTACAAGACGCTGACATCAGGAGAAGGAACTGCACCTTTACATTAGGTGAAATAAGAATTAGTTCTAGAATACAAGAAAGAGAGAGTTGCCCTGAGAAGTGGTGGCATATGGACTGTGAGAGTGATGCAATACTGACAACAGAGTGCATTTTTTTTAATCACACTCATAGATTCACCCTCTGAACTCACTGGATGGGGAATGACTCCAGATTGTTTTTGAATTTTAGTGAAACAAAGCACTGAAGGCCCATTTTGTAGTATTTACTGATTCGTGTTTCTTCACCCATCCCAGTTTAAGAGGTTTGCTGAAATGTAACACAGTTCTCTGTAAGTGTTTGCCCTTGTATTGAATGACCATCTAAAAGGGAATAGTAGGATTTATGAGCAGTGGCTTGTGTTTACATTTGGTTTAAGCCTTGTGCTTATAAGCTTACTGTGGCTCTCTCAGGTGTCTGGCAGGGCTGCCTGGTTTACTGGCAGACAGACACAGTGAGCAGTATTTTTATGGCCGCTGCCCATTAGTTGTTCAGAGGAGATAAATGTGTGGTGGATTATGTTTTCAGCTGCCTGTCAGGAAGACAGAGAGCAGCTATCAAAAACAAGTGTATCAGGGGCTTTGAGGTCGGCCTGTGTGTCACTTCTGGGGCAAATTCACCTGCTGAGTGCGCCACTGGCTCCTCTCATTAACACTTTTATTTCTGCTCTCAGCTACTGTCAATGTATTCACTGGTCTGATTCCATATTAAGGATTAATAGATTAACACCTTTGTAAGAACCATTCAGTGTCTCATTGGGTTTTTGGCATCTTCTCCTCATTCACTTGTTCACCCACTGGTCTGTGGACACAGGGGTCACTACAGAAAGGAGCATTAGGACGTATTTATGTCTTTTACATGAAACTTCAAGGAAATCCTGCCACAGAATAGCCACTGTTACAGGGTTTACTGCAATGGTAACCAGTAACTTTATGTGACTTATTAAGTTATGAGGTCGGTGGTTCAATGTGGCGTTCAGTGGCGCTATGTAAATACAGCCCATCTCCTTAAAAGTCACCTTGGGTCTGTGACGTTTGTACATTTACAGCTACATGAAGATTATTTGTATTTTATTGGAGTGGAAACATGGCTGTTTTCTGGCTTGGCTGATTTGGGGTGTTCTGACCTACTGTCTGTGAAATCTCTGAAAGCTGAGAACTGAACTCCCTCCAGGTGAACACAGAAACAGATTTTATAACATTACAGGCATTAACTTTTTGAGAATGTTATTTACTCCAAACGCAACAGCATTAATCAATAGTGGAAAGAGAAAATCACGTTAACTTTCAATGGCTGCAGCTGCACCTACTTACCTCTGCCAGTTCATCAGCGGGTGACACTCATCCTCCCCCTTACCTCGCCTTTCCATTTCACAGCCTTCTGCTCACAAGGTGGACATGTAGGGTCTGCTAATCCATCAAACCCACTGTCTATGGCCTCAACTGGTTTTAGGCACTCACGTCAACCATTATTTATTCTTCTAATGCTTATTGATCCTAGGCGTATTGATCTCTCCACCCACCAGCCCTCACATGGGACACACATTCACTTTCTCTCTTTATGGACTTTTCCCAACTGTGGGAAGACTTAAAAATAATTGATAGAAATGTCAAACATGGCTGTTGATTTCCAAAAACGCACCTCAATCAACTCCTCTGTGCTGTCCCCATGCTGACTCATATTCAGCCGCCACCCACTTACAGCAGCAATCTTTTTCCATTTCTTATTTTTTAGCCCGTTTGTGTTTATGGCACCATAGAGCTGGCACTGTGGGATGGAGAGAGTCTGAGCCAGTGATGTGTCTGGGGAATATCGACCCGGTGGGATAGAGAGAGAGAGAGAGACAAAGATAAACAGAGAATTGCTGCAGTTTTAGAGATTGGTGGCTTTTTTGCCTCCAGGATGAAGCGAGGGGTGATTTGTGCCCTTGTTCCCAAAGTATCATCTCGTGTTCTCTGTATTGTTCTCGTTTTTGGATTTGCAGAATCCTGTCTTGCCTTATGAATTTACTTTAATTTATTCTACAGTAATACCATCCCAGACACTAGTTGTATCCCTTCTCTTCCTGTTTTTCTTGCCTTGTCATCCGGTCCCTTTGCTGCAGCTGTCCTGCAGTGATATGTCAGGGGCGACAGTGTGTGCAGCGAGTGTATCTCGTATCTCATGCTTTTGTGTGTGTGTGTGTGTGTGTGTGTGTGTGTGTGTTTAGATGAAGAAATTGACATCTTTTCCCAGCAGGCCAGTGTTTTTGCATAATTTGCTGCGCTCACATTAAAGCTGGGAATCACGTCATCATTTTTACTCGGACCCAAACAAATGTGATACATTTCTGTTTAATGTTGTGGATACTGTGCAGTTCACATTGCTAATGATGAAACAAGCTTTGTCCTGCCTCTAATAAGCATCAGTGAAGTCATTATGTGAGAGTCAGATATGTAGTGTTCTCCTCTTGCTAATGACAGAGCAACACTCTCGAACGGATGAGACATGAGCAAACACAGAGCTCAGCCTTTCATCATGTAGCATCATCACTGTCAGTCTTGTGTTGGGTGTGTTGATGTGTGTATATGTGTTGACAATAAATTCCCCCTCTGCTGCTAAACAGAAAAACCGGGCAGATTAACATATTAATGGTTTATGTAACATACAAAATACAATAAATTATACTCTTCTATGAATTTTATATTTACACAAATGTCTGTTTTATTATGTAGATACACCCCCTTCGACCCTTAAAGGATAAGTGGTACAGATAATGGATGGATGGATGTAGAGTCTGGCAGAAAGGACAACTGTGACATTTAAACTGTGTGTGAGAAATATTTGATAACAGGATTACCGTCCCTCTCCTGCTTTGTAATTGCTTTGGTCACAGAGGATGATAGTATGACTCTGATTTGAGACAAGAACAGCACAAACAAACAGATCAGTCCAGAGGACGTGTGGGACAGACGAGGGGCAAAAATCTGACTTCAACATTGTTTGTTACCGTGCAGCATTTTAGTTGTGGGATTTTCAGATCTGGCAATTTAACAGGTTGTCAGACACATGGCTTTTATCCACATGATAGCATTGTTTAAATTAATAAGCCTGTCGCATGTCCCTGTCCAACTGTCAGAGCTGGAGACATGAGCTGAGAGAACAAATCTATCCCCCTTTGGATCAGATATTTCTGTCTTTCAGTCTTTTATGTGAGAATAAATCATTAGTGTTGACACATAATGAATAATGTTGGATTCTAGAAGCTAGCTGAAGAGATGTTTGTGAAAATGCATGTATATTAAAATAAACCATTCGATGCCTTTATTGTCATCGTACTGTGTCCAACGGAGTTACGTGTGCCAGTGGTAGAAATATTAAGATGACTCCCAGATATGTAGACATATTACAGTCTGATAAATAAATACCAAAACAAACCAGTTATATCGCCCAAAATATGCTTTATATGCTTATTTTCCTGAGTTGATAACATATTGATAATACATTCAAACCATCTACTCTGTGTACACTGTACCTTATTTGTGAGTATTACAGACCCAAGTTTATATTAGTGTGTTTAGGTTTATGTATAAACAATAAAGAATTTGCTTGTGCATTTTTGAGGCAAGAAATATTTTTAACCATTAAATCCCAATGCATGTTTATTTATACATATAGAGGAAATGCTAGTTTTCCAGTATTAATTGATTCCAACATGTGCTACAAAAATGAAATGTGAATCAATATCACCACCTATTGGTCAAATAGAGGCAGTGCATGAAACATGACAGATTCGACATTAAATATTTTGCTGATCATTTGACCCACAACAACACGAGTCACATGACAAACCTTGTGATATTAATAGAGGTTATAACAAAACAACAATGGTGTAAACTATATGTACAAATGGTGGAGTAACACCAGTGTTTACCTGCTGTTTCATACCAAAATGGCTGCTGTGAAAAGAGTCCTCTTAATCATGTTATTTACATGTATCTCTGTTTACTCTCGTTCCCTGTAGGGACCAGTGACCCGTATGTGAAGTTCAAGATTGCGGGGAAGGAGGTGTTCAGGAGTAAAACCATCCATAAGAACCTTAACCCGGTGTGGGACGAGAGAGTGACCCTACACGTGGAAAACCTGAGGGACCCGCTATATGTCAAGGTAAGTGTTGAGGTTCATCCTGCTCTTATATTGACTACCATAGGCAAAATAACATTTGTGGAACTGTGTTAAGGGTCCTCAGTTTACTGTTGGTATATTGTCTCTTTGTAGGTTTTTGACTATGACTTTGGACTCCAGGATGATTTCATGGGCTCAGCGTATCTCCACCTGGAGTCACTGGAACATCAGAGGTCTCTTTATCTACTTTGACTTTTTTTACTGCTGCTTTTCACCTATATGTTACACTTTTTTTTATAAACTTTGTATTATCCTCATTTCCCTGCAGTTTAACTTCTCCTGTACTCTCCACTGATTGTATTTAACAAACGAGTAAATACAATCACAATAGGCATGTTCAGAGATGTTTAGAGATTCTCATGTGTCAAGAGACAACAAATATTGAGGTTGATGGTTGGAAAGAAATTCAGTCTTGACCCGTCTCTGAGAATCCCACCTTGCTTTGCTGCCTTCATTTTGATCAAATATGATCTGTTGCCTCCCTCTAGTGGTAGTCTTTGGTAACTCACCTCAAACCCCATATTGAGTTTTGGTTGTACGAAGAAAAAAGAAAGGAACTTAACTACCATCAAGTCCATTATATTTTCTCTTAAGCAGAAATACTGTTATCTGTTAACCACAATCAACTGCATGCGTGTTTTAAATTACACTGGCTGATCACACCTCTAGTCAGGTGAAAGTTGGATTATAAGCAAAGAGCAGTGTTCTCACCACACTCATTCTGAGTTGTCATGACAGGAAAAACACTGATGATATCAATAATATAAATAATGGCTTCAGTTTACTGAAGTGTCCCGGTGAGCCATGAGTTTGACACAGAGATACAGCATGCACAACAGACCCTGCGCACTGCAGACATTTTGGATTTTCATAGCAGTAAAACCACAAGTGTAAGTGATTAGAAAACTAGTGCATTCTCGTTGGATGAGAAAGTTCCAGGGCTCTGGTATTTTGGATGCTGCCACAATGTCTCTGTTCACTGGAACACTTGATGCAACTGAGCCCCTTTTCTCACATGTACTTTTTCTATGAAAAATGAAATGACTCATTTCTTTGTGATCCAATACACTGCTCCAAAAAATGAAGGGAACACTTAATCATGACAGCGAGTCAGTTGAACTTCAGGGATCAATGTGTCCATTTAGGGAGCACAAGTGATGAGTGTGAATCAATTTCACCTGATTTGGTTCAAATGAAAGAGACAACAGGATCGATGGAGAGACAAAAGCAAGAAACCGCTCAATAAGGGAATTGGCTTTGCATTTAGTGTTCTCTCTTTATGACTGGTTCTTCTCTAGTTTTGTGTTCTGCAAGTGCCCTTGTCACTACTGGTAGCATGAGGCGGTATCTTCAGCCCAGTCAGGTTACAGAGATAGTCCAGTTCATCCAGGATGGCACATCTATACGTGCGGTCACAAGAGGGTTTGCTGGATCTGGACAGGACCGTAAGACGTCCACCCAGCAGCAGGACCAGTATGTTGGTGGGTCAGTGATGGTCTGGGGGAGCATATCCTTGGAGGGTCGCACAGACCTCCACGTCAAAGCCAACGGTTCCCTGACCGCTGTTAGTTACCAGAATGAAATCCACAGTGATTGTCAGAATTTACGCTAGTGCAGTGGGCCCTTGTTCCTCCTGGTGCAGGACAGTGCCGGCCTCATGTGGCCAGAATGTGTAGAAAGCTCCTGGATGATGAAGGCATTGATGCCATTTACTGGCCCTCAAGTTCCCCTGACCTTAATCCAATTGAGCACCTATGGGATATTATGTATCATGCATCCAATGCTGTCAAGTTATGCTGCAGACTGTCCAGGAGCTCACTGATGCCCCAATCTAGGTCTAGGAACATGCCCAGATGTTGTCAGGAGTGCACAGGCACACATCACTACCACTCATCTGGTTTATGTATGGTTTATGCCTTCAAACAGAATTGTCAATAGCAGGTGTAAACCTTCACATATTTCTCAATATGCATAAATCAAGATTGTTAGCAAGGTGGGCCGCTTGATAACAATAAGACTGGCATTTAGAAGGGGGAGGGGAAGAAAACAGAATGTAGCAGTCAGAGGGGCGGCTCATCTCACTGCTCCACATCCATCTTGTCAGACTGATTAAAAATGTGAATTGACTTTCTGTTCAGATGGAACGGGTGTATGCGTGTGAAACATAATTTTTTATATACACATGTGGAATCCCTGCATTGTAAGCATATGAATGTACAGATGTGTGTGAACATGGTTTGCTGTGTTTCCCTGCAGGACACTGGATGTGACGCTGGACCTGAAGGACCCACAGTACCCTGAAAACAACCTGGGCAGCCTGGATCTAGCTGTCACTCTGTCACCGAAGGAGGGAGACTTTAGGGATGCTGTAAGAAAAATATGTGAACTATTCGTCAGATTACTATTATGCAAAAAACTACATTTCCTTCTCATTCTGGGGAATAATTCTTTTCACTCTAACATATCCACCAGTTTACATCACACTATGATAAGCAATGATGTCTTGTATACTGAAGGCAAATAATATAAATGCTGAAGAACTACGTACGACATTTTTTGGTAAGAAACCAAACAACTCAATACAAGTTTGATCATGATGAAACTTCTTACTCTAGTTCAGGGAAGTGTGTCTCTGCACATCAGAAGCTCAGGCTGATGAACTGGAGTGCGCTGGCTCCAGTCAGCCTCAGTTTCTGGAAACTCTCCAACTCAGCAAATGCATGTGCATAAACACAAGTGTAATTAACATGTTCAGTGGAAAAGTTTCGTGTTCAAAGAGCACCGGATTCTCTTTCTTAATTATGTTGGCTCCTGCCTCTGCGGACATGCTCGATGTTTCAGAGTTGCATTTATTTCTGTTCAATTATTTGTTTGGTTAATTGGACCCCTGCATGCTCGATCCAGAACAAGGCAGAGTCATGGGGGAAATATTTTATTCCTTTTGATCTGATGTCTTAATTCTGGTGCTTATTTAGTACTGTAGTTCAGAGAGTCCACATTTGACAGAACAAATAAACTCTATTTAGGTTAAGCATCATTTTGGATTTCTCCAACTGTGAAGAAAATTAGTACAAGGTTATACCAGTACATTTGTCAAGGCTCTCTCTGTTGCCATCTACTGGTATGGAAGAGAAAAGGAAAATATACTTAACTCTATATTTAAATCTATCCCCAATTAAATAGCTAATAATCCGATGATTTTAGGTATTATGCAGAATCAAGTGTTTCTGTATGTGGTGATCAGATTCATGTACTGTGTTTTCAAGTTCATGTGTTGTGCACATGTTAATCCTCACATATATATATGTTGACGCCAAACTTTGAAACATGCAAAAATACCTTAAGCTATTTTGAGGACATGCCCATAATCCTCACTCTTATGCCTTGTCAGTATAAGAAAAGTTCTTCCTTAAGTTCAACTGCTTTTCAAGGTGATTCTCCAAAACTGGACCAAAACAGTTAAGTTAAACAAACAGGCTGGATCAGTTACTGTCTCTGTTTGAGTGTGTACATTGTGTGAATATAATGTATAACAGGCACAAACAGTAGCTGTTGTATTTATATAAACCAAAGACTGTATTTATAGATGGACGACATGACGGCCTCCCAAAAGTGAAGCCAAATTATTTTGGTCGGCTTGCTGCAGTATATGTCATTAACCCTCCTTCCTCTATGTTAGTGGATGGGACATGAACCAAACTGAAAAGTCAAAGTACATACTTTTTCAAGGAGGATCTTACCATTTTAAGTCGCTCTTCTCGCCCACATGTGTCCGAGTGCTAATTTTAGTTAGGATTTAGTTTATTATTGAAGTTTGTTGGGATGACGTCATGATTGACAGCCGAGACTGACTCATGATTGGTCGAGCATGTGTATTGGCTGGACCTCACTGCTGCGGCTCCATCCCCTGATCACCACTGCACAGACTTTGTCTCCACATGACGTCATCAGCGCAAGATGGCAGCGCTCGTATCTGGGATATTTTGGCTTCAAACCTGGACATTGGGAGGAGGTGAAGATGTGTCGTCCATCTTTATATACAGTCTGTGATACAGCGTGTGTGCATACGCCTACACCTCAGACCATATGACAAGCACTTCTCATACTCTCCCTGCTTATAACATGCATGACTGACGACTGCCCCCCTCTCCTTATCTAACCCACCCTGCACCAGACCGAGGCTAACGTGACCATCATACACCCCCATGCCCTTTAACTTCTGATCCTCAGCTTTAAGGGGGAGACATTGGGGGGCGCTCTGTAACCGCTTTGTCTCATTTACAGACCATGCTTTTGAGAAGGAACTGGAAACGATCTAGTAAGGTAAACTAAAACAGCATGTAACCCCACCCACAAACTCCCAACTGTACTGTAACCTCACTACCAACCACACCTCACCCCTCCTGCACTCTTCACTGGTGTCCTGGTACGTGGATGGAGTCTCCCCTCTTCCTCCCCCTCCTCCCCTTCCCTCCCACAGTGGTATTATACCTTTTTTCCTTTTCTCGATCAGTTCTTTAGTTATCATCGTCACCAGTTTATTTTCCACAAGCTGCAATACACCACCTGCGTTTTACATCAGCTGAGGCAATGTAAAACTTTTGTTGGGATGCAATTGCAATTAAAGGGGAACCATGTGTCATAAGTCATGAAAATTTGCCCCAAGGGCAGAAGTAACTTGATACAAATACTACTGTTATGAGAAATTAATTTTCTGCTTTTTGGATTGTTCTTATCAACATTTCATTTTTAAATTTAAGTGAGTTTAGAGCTCTACATTATTTTTCACTTAAACCCTAAAAACAGCTATCACAAACCTCCAGCTATTTACAGCGAAGTCAGTTATTAATAAGATGATCTGTTGTGTAACATGGCTTCATTATGAATTCATCTCACAGGTAAAATAATCCTGTGAACTTTGTGCTTTTGCTCGGCCTGAGCTCCAAGTACAATATGTCCATGCTTCTCCCACCTTTGACCTGTACTGTGTATTGCAGCTACCGTGTGAGAAAATAATAGTTATTTGTTTTCTGGGGTTTTAAAGGCGTCCAGATCCTTGGCAGATTGGAGGACATTCTTAGACCCCTTACATCTAGTGGAAATCTTTTAAGTTGATATTATTTGAGTTCCCATCTTGCCGTAACAGACCGCTACCTTTTTGGTTTTGCTATATGTGGCTGTTTGATGCTGTTTGAGGCTCTGCTTCTTATTTGCTCCTGCATGAAGCACCTGCCATGTTTTTTTGAAGCTAAATACAGAATTATATAAGTATCAGGGACGATTTTGTAAGCACGATTATGTTAATTTGCAGCCGTGTTTGCTCATGTTTCACTTCTAATAAGGAACATCAGTATTTATTTTCCTGTTGTCACCGTGTAGGGCTGAATCTGGAAACACTGTTTTACTTTTAGTTGATTTCCTAAATCGCACCTAGAGGTTTTGAATGATTCCTCAACCAACCGTGAAAAAGTTTGATACCCACCAAGAGACACAGACACACATTTGAAGTGCGCTTGGTTGGAGCTGGGCAGACGTCCTGCTGTATTGTGCTTCCCTAAACCGAGCCTTTGAAGCCTCCTAACTGGGCCATCCCGCCTGTGACTCGGGAATTAGCTCAAACACTAACGAACTAGCTACTGTGCTACCCCACCAAAAAGGCGCTGCTCCTGAGTGCCTCCCTGCCTCCGTGCTCGACAGCAACACAGTGCACGGTTATTTTTACACAACCACTTCTTTTTAATGAAGCATATGTGAGTGCTGAACCCACAGTAGGAGATGCAAACTATTCAAGAAGTAGTTTGAGATAATAATTATAAGTCAGATGCATGCTGAATTCAGGTCTCTAACTTTTACCACAAGGCAAAATGCTTCTTTTGGCACTTCAAACGTTTTCCTCATGAAAAGTTGAACCATGTTTAAGGCAGTATTAGTTTTTAAAATGAACACTGGTATCTCTTCAAGACTTTTAGCCCGCGAACATCTCCGTGCACAATCTCTCTCCTGCTGCGCTCTAGCAGAGAGGATGCAGATCCCCAATTCAAATAGCCCATGGTTCTTCTTTTGCGAGAAGAAATATGTAGCAACAAAACAAGGAAACAATTAGGATCACGCTAGCGTAGGACATAACGGCAACCTCTCGTCATTAGCATACAGTGTGTTTCGGAGCAATTGAACAGGAGGAATGAAAGATGTGGGAGTTGCTGTATGGGAGGTTGGCTGTATTTCAGGGAGCCATTCGCATTGTTTAATGTCTGGAGAATGGAAATTAAGAGGCTCCGTCTCCAGATCAAAGGGCCGCACTTGCAAGGCAGGGTTTGTTCAGAGTTTAATGAAATTCACCCGCAAAACAAAAGCTATGCTAATAAATTCTCCCTAACGAGGAAGGAGGAGAGAGGAAGGCAGAGAAAGGGAGAGAGAAGGGGGTGTATTTGTTTGACAAATAAATACCCTGCTCTTTGTTTTAGTGAAGAATACTGACATGATTCAAAGAGAGGTTAAATAGGCCTGTAAGTGCTGAGAAAAGTGTTGGAGGGAAAAAAAACTACAGACTTAAAATATGGATAATCATCAATCTGAGTTTGCGGAGCTGTCAGCTTACAGCACTGCCAGATGGAATACAAAATTTACAGAAGTACAGTGTCTCAGTGGTCTTTCCAGTTTGGGTAAGACAGACTATAAATCACTTGCATCCTTTGTTTATTATTTGATATATTTCAAATTTTGTGTAGAATAAAAAACAAAACAAGTAGATGCAATGAAATATAATTTTTTTTCGACAGTAGATTCCCGGTAAACAAGCGTAGAAAGAGGTCATGGTACATGTTCCTCGTTTTTCTGCAGACACGCTGCTACTGACAAGCCACTCTTTTTTCCCATGAAACTGTTCAGTGGATATAGTGCGATGGCTATATTTTTAACCTATTACCTATTTACTGGCTGTTCTGGTCAGGTGAGCCCACACCTCAAGGGTAAATTCAACTGTTTTGTGTTTCTGTGTTATCTGGTGTGTTCTCCTTCCTATCTGTGTTTTGTAGTTTGCTGTTGACGAAGTTTTCAACAGCCACAATTGTACCTTGGGGTTAATCAATACATATGTCTGTGTATGTGTGCTTGCTTTGTGTGTGTTCGTGATTGTGCTTGTCATAATAAATGCACGTTTGCGTGAATGTGTGTGTGCTTGCTGCAGTATCAGAGTATGCGTCTGTCAGATGTGCACAGAAAAGCCCAGCTGTGGCGAGGTATAGTCAGCATCAGTCTGATAGAAGGTCGCCGCCTGCAGCCCATGGACACCAATGGCCTCAGTGACCCTTACGTCAAATTCAGGATGGGGCACCAGAAGTACAAAAGCAAGGTAAACGTCCTCCTGTTGGAGAATACATTGGAGGAGCATTTATATGTTGAGATTTTGTTCATTTTCATATTTATATTTCCATATTGTTCATTAGAAAAACAACTTGTTTACGTACAAGCAGAAATGTCTGCAATCACTCTTGATCTTTTTTACATTTCTCAGTTCCTCATTCTTGTCTTTATTAACACTATGGAAGGAAAATGCATCACTTATCAGTGAGAATATACAGATTTAGTCTTTTCTTATTGTTTGTCTTGTAACGCTTTAACAGTTTATTATTTTTAATTCATATAGTCTGTGAAAAGTCCAAGTTTAAGTAGCTCTGTCATCTATAGACATATACATATCTCATCTAAATAGCGAATCCATCAACAGTGTATTTGCTTCTGTTGTTTTCTCAGACAATTCCCAAAACGCTGAACCCCCAGTGGAGAGAGCAGTTTGATTTCCACCTGTATGAGGAGCAGGGAGGTTTTGTAGACATCACAGTGTGGGACAAAGATGCTGGCAAGAAGGATGACTTCATGGGAAGGTACAGTGGTCTCTATCCGTCTCTGGATATGTTGTGATCTAACTACTTTGCAGGTTGTTAGGGTAGAACAGGTGTAGCCTGTGGCAGAATGACCTATCCTTCACACTGTAGGTTTTAAAGAAACTGCACAATGATTGTTTTTTGGCCAAAATGACCATGTCTCTAATTTCTATGGACTTAATCTTTTTTTTAACCCTGTGTTCAACATACTGCAGTAACATTCCTGTGCAAATTGAAACCCTGGGTGAATATAATGCCATTCCCTGTGGAATATTTTCTTGTTTTCATCAGAGTGGAGGCAATTGAGGAAACATTTGCTTTGAACTCTTTGACCCAAATGCAATAATTACTACAAGTCTGCCTTGATATTAACCAGAGATACATCAAGGTCAGGCTGAAAAATCAATTGTGATGGTTTCAGGTTACTGCTAAAAGGTTTTAATTGTATCAGCTTTGGCTAGGTTGTCAGAAATGGAATAAATGCGATCTCAGTAATTGTATTTCTTTGTTTTTGCATGTGTGTTCACTTTAGGTGTACCATTGACCTGTCGCATCTCAGTAAAGAGCACACACACAAGCTGGACCTGCCGCTGGAGGAAAGCGAAGGAGTGCTGGTTCTCCTGGTTACACTCACTGCCTCTGCTGCCGTTTCCATCTCAGACCTGTCAATCAACATGCTGGACGACCCGAACGAGAGACATCAGATCATGCACAGATATGTGAGTTTATTGAAAGTGCAGCCTTGTATGAGTGAGTGTAAGATAAATGTGTGAATACTTTTGACAGGCAGATGCGCAGTGTGCCAGAACTCAAGACCTTAAGATGAAGTTTTTAGGTTTTTAAGGAATATAATGCCTCCTCAAGTTTACGGCACAATTTAACCTTGTGTGTCTTAGCCACTCGACTGTTTTTCACTAACCGGGGAAGGTAGCTAATCCTAGTGCTAGCTTGGTTCATTGTTTGATAGAACCAATGACTGGAGTGTAGAAACAGATGTTTACCTGGTGGTCAAATTATATCACTTAACTTTCTATTGGCCATCTCCATTTTGATTACCACCAGAGGGTGACAATATGTTTATGGCCCATTTTTGGTTTGGTCTGTGATGTCAGAAGAATGTCAACACTGACCTTCATGACAGTGTCACCTGCTGTAAAAGACCTGCAGTAATGAGCTGTGCCAAGTAAAGACCGACTGACTCAAAATTGCACACTGTACCTCATTGGGCCCTAAACAATACACATGCCAAGTGTGAAGCCGATAAGATGATCGGTTGTTGAGATATGTGATGTAAAATTTCAGCTTGTGCAGACACATATTTGTGATGCTGTTATTGAGATTTGTCATTGATGATCTGTGCACACATTCTTGATCGTGTCCATATGTTCAACATACATCATTACTGTTTGAGGATATTCTCAGGAAAAAAATGCTTTGTGTTTGGTCTGAGCACACCAATACAGTCAGAGGAAGCATAAATACTGAAACTTAAAAATATCCATTGTTCCAAAGTTCCCCTCCTTGAAATCCATGCCCATATACTTTATAATTTCCTTCACTCTGCTAAAAACAATTTCATGCAGTCATCTTCTGCATTACTGATTTCCCATATATCTAATTCTATGGCTTCATCCCTCGGTTTATGTGACTGTGTGACATGAACTGTCAACTTGTCCAAGTTTCGAACAAAGTATTGTTCTTGTGTCATAAGTCAGACTGACCTGTCAAAAAGCAACTCTTGGAATAAAATCCACCAACCTGCAGCTGTGATTTGAAGTTAGAAGTGGAGGAGTGGGAGGTGCAAAAAATAGAAGACAAGAAAAACATTGGGTTTAGGGGTCAAGGAAGGAGACGAGAAATCACATCTCTTTCGGGATGTTTGGAAAATGTCCCCGCTCACATCACTGCTTTGCCTCTGCCGTTATGATTCACACCACAAGTATTGTTTGATATTTGCATTGATGTCCTGCAGTGATTTGTGTGTGTTGTGAGTGTATGATTAATGCATGTGAGTTATTTATTTGGGTGTAAAAAGTCTTAGCTTGTTAGCCAGTTGTCGCTGATTTGAGCTTAGTATTGGAGAGATGGAGAGAAAAAAAAGAGAAAGAGTAAGCCCCAAGGCCCCATCTGTTCCAGAGGCCCTCCACTCAACACAATGCTTTCAGCCTATGTCTTTGTCTTAGCCTAGTTAACCCTTCACACCCTGTCATCCTCACTCCGTGCTACAAAGACACTCAACGACTAGCACACATACTCGCACACACTCTCAATAGGTTGCATTCACTGACAGCCTTGACATGAGACATTTCTCTGCACATCAACAAAACGTCATGTGGTATTATCAGTATTTGCTTGACTTATTTTAATAGGTAATTACATTTTTTCATTTAATATTTTCAGTTTGGTTTGAGACTTTATATGATAATAAAAATGTAAGATATATGTCATGATTGCACCTATTGTATTTAATTATGTAGTAGACATGTGGAGGCACATTTTCCCACGAGTGCCACTTAGTTCCATCTGTTTTTTGTGGATGTACAGTGAATGTGTTCATGTGTAGTAAACAGCTGTTGGTTTGTACTTGTGAGCCCATAGGATGTGTTCTGAGAAGCGTTTTTCAGCATTTGTGCATAAGCACCAATGGCGAGGCTCCACAGGCCAAACACGGGTGCCACGACCTACATAACCGTGCCGGTACCTTATTGGCTAGCTGCAGGAGGTCGATCACTTTGCTTCACACTGCAGCAACCACCCAGGATCAGAGGGGGGAGCTCTAGGACCGAGACACAAACGCTGTGCCTCTCCTCACACTAACAAAATGATGGCGGGGAGTGTGTGTGTATGTGTTAGTGTGTGTGTGTGTGTGTGTGTAATAGGGGGCGAGAGGTAAAGGGTGATGGTTGCACTGGGAAGGGAAGGCGTGCAAAATGAAAAGAAAAAGCTATTTCACCTCTCACACAACTCGCGCAGACCCCGTTTTTCTGCTCGGCTGAGGCCAAGACATTTCCCGTCCCTCGCCTACCTCTTTTCCTTCTTTCTCTCGCACCCCGGCGTTTCTGTCCCGCTCTCCCGTCAGCCCTCGGCTCTTTCTCTGTCGCCGCCGTGGCCCTCCCGTCAGATGAAGGGACAGAGAGATAGAGGGTGGTGGTGGTGGGGGGTACAGATGGAGGGGCACTGTGAGGTCGGTTTGCAGACTTGAATGGTCTCTACCCCATTAACATATTCCTTATTCCCAGACTGGCTGTCTTTCAGTTGCAGAATTCAATAAAGAAGTACCTTATCAAAAAGTACTGATAAGACCAAGTACCACCACTCATTCATAACAGTGCTGCTCAAAGCCCACTAATCTGCCCTGTGTGTGTGTTTGTGCTTGGGCACAATTTTAATGACTAGTATTATCAGCTTGAGATCAGCTGTTCAGCACAAGCCTGCACAAATCATCCACTACTGCTAATCACAAACAGAGGCGTGCACACACACACACACACACACACACACACACACACACACACACANCACACACACACACACACACACACACACACAAAAACAGTACCTACCTGTGTCAGCTATCTAGTAAAGAGATGGGGGATGGCAGAGTAATACAAGAACCATTCTGTCATCATCACAGCTTTAAAGAGCAGATACATTTACAGACAATACTAAAGTAGAGAAGACAACTGAAGTCCTCTGCTCGTCCCACCTTGCTCATCTTAAAAAAATAATCACACACAAGTACTGTAAGGCAGTGTGTAGCAGTGGATCATAAAATACTGCTGTGTGCACTCTCAGTTCAATAATCAAAATTTTGAAGAAGACTGCATAGATTTTAAACCATGCATCTGAGGACATTGAAAACAGATAATGAACTCCAGCGGATCTGCATTATGATGCCTGTCACATACAGTATATGCATGTGTCTATCAGGTCTGTTATATGTGCCTCTGTACACTTGCATTCACAGCGTACATCATGCGTGTGAACGAGTACATAAGAAATTCTGCCTCAAACTACTTTGAATGCAGCTGATGGCAGAGCTGTATGCAACACGGTGCAATACACCCACTCAGTGACAACTGCCTTAGATGTACTATTGCTCACTGTAACCTTTCTTTCATCCCTAATTACTGTTTCCTAGAAGTAGAGAGGGACAGAGGGAGAAGGAAAAGAAGAAATTTATGCATTATGATGGCAAAGGAGCACACACACTAATGGCTCTTAATGGGCCTGAGGTGGCCGCAAGATGAGTGGATGAGAGGAGGAGGACGTGGTGACCTCCACCGAAGTGGTGGCACTTCACCACTCACCCTCATGTACTGTATTGCACACACACACTCACACACCTGCAGTACCTCTCCCACCCACTCCGGTGCACTGCTCTAAGGTGAGGTGAGAGGACACAACCCGGACAGGAAGTGCAATCAGGGGCTGCAGTGAAGTGTTAGAAGGGCGGACGGCAAACTTTGAGATGGATTCTTGACAGACAGTGATGGTGAGCTGATGAACAGGAGTGGTAGTTGTCAGCATTTCTGTTTGTGGTTGGGCGTTTACAGTCATTTGATCAAATGTCCCCCTAAAGCTAATGGTTACTGGGCAGATGCTCTCCTTGTGTGTGTGTCATATTATATTCAGTGCTGATGAAAGGTGACACGATGCAAAGATGACAGTGAGTCATGAGGCTTTACCGACGTTGATTCATTTGCGTTTGTGCAATATGACAGAGATGGGAACAAGACGTCACTGTGACAACATGTCAATCACTGACAGGATGGGGGTTTGTCTTATAAAAGCCTCTGTCCATCCTTTTTTCTCCTCTGTTCATCCCTCCTTTTCATCTCCTTATGCCCATCATTCCACCTGCATGCTGATGGGGGGTGTGCAGAGATGTAAATGGAGGAATGGGGGTTGGTCTTGGCCTCCCTTCATCTCTCTGTCTTTCTACTTGTGTGTCTGTCCAGTCCATCTATTGCTGTCTATCTTTCTAATGGGGATTTGAATCCTCGAGGAGGATGGGTTTGTCTTCTCCACCAATCATGGATGGAGGTTGAACCTTAAATGTCCCCTCAGGGAGACGAGATGGTGGAAGGAGGAAGGGATGAAGAGCGGAGAATTGGTTGGGGGATGAAAAATAATCTCTACATCTATTTATTAGAGAAATAATTGTTTCTCATTTTCTTCTGCGAGTGTCTGTGCCTGTTTTATGTATCTTTTGCTTGGTATTCTTACATTTTATGATACTATGGGATACAAACAATTTTTTTTCATAATATTTTTTGGGGATTTTCTAAAATGTCAAGCAGCAAGTTTTCCAAAACCAAATAAATACAGTTAAAATATTATTTCAAATCATAACCTGTATAAACTGTATTGAGAAATGATGAAATTACATATTAATCAATAAGACACAATCTTAATTGGTTTAGTTACAATGTAAATCCATAAATATCACACACACACACACACACACACACACACACACACATTCTGAGGAGTAGCTAAAAAAGTACTGTAAAGGCTTCCACCTGCGTTATCACTATTAGGACATTTCTACTGTTGAACACTAAAGCCTCTTTTCCACTGGTCAAAAAAACTCACTAACACCCACTAACCATCTGGCTATTGGTATTTACTCCCGGGTTAAATGACTCCACAGTGGACACAGGATTTGATCGGCTCTGGCTCCCGTTGGCAGTGATGGAAACACCCAGGTGAATGTGATCATTAGGAGAGACAGCGAAGTGAGAGAGCGCCTCAGTTGTTTTGCATTGTTGAGACTCTAGGCAAACTCCTCCACTGGCAATGGGGAAGGAGTCAACCCCACCTTTCACCCACATTAAAAGACCTGTGTGTGCAAATTTTGGTATAACACACCCAGTGGCCAGCCAACAGTTTGCCCTCATCTTTTTCTCTGTCGCCTCCTTCATGCCCTCTCTCTGACTCTTTTCCTCCCTCTCTTCTTGGCTGCCCCCCAATAATCACAACAAGCAGCTGTATCTTCAGAGAAATCGTGCCTTAAGATTGAGACTTGTCCCCTCTATCCCTCTCCCTGTATGTCTCTCTCTTTTTCACACACTCTCTTTTTTTTCTCCCCCCTCTTTCTTTCACACACTCTCCCCTCTCATCTCCTTTAGAGAGCTTTTGGACAATGATATCGCAGGAAACAGGCAGAGTCTGACAGAGTTGGTAATAATGAATTAAGTCTGTAGCCTGGCCCTGACTCTGAAATTTAAATTATAATTACTCCTGTGGGGATGGAAGGGGTTATTGCCAGGGAGAGAGAAATAAATTGAAGTGAAGTGCATTTCCACTCTGCTTTTAAGACACGCCGACATGCTACTCAATTTGGCCTCAGTGTAGGTTTTTCTATGCATGTGTTTATACCTGAGTATTTGGGTGTGAACAAAAGCATGAGTTTATGGTTGTGTGTGTGTGTGTGTGTGTGTGTGTGTGTGTGTGTGTGTCAGTGCCTCACGACCCAGATCTCCACAGGTCCTCCTTTATACGTCAGATTTACAAACAACTCTTTTTACATAGTCATTCCTCTGTCTCCTGGTTATTAAAACCTTGTGTACAGAGTTTTTCACCTTCTCCCTTTAGACAATCACAAGGCCTCATGGCAACTCCTGGCTGTGTATGTAAATGTCCTGTTATGGTGTGTACGCCTGGAAGAGGAGAAGAATATCAAGTGGGGATATGTGCTTTGTTTGTGAGTAAGCTTGTGTGTCCGACTGTTCTTGTTTTACAGTTGATGTGTTTATCAACCATTTGTGTGTGGAGGTCACCTGTGTGTGTGTGTGTGTGTGATGTGATAACTATATCACTGCACGCTTCATTGGATGTGTCTACTCACTACAATACCTCTATTATCACATATCAAGCCTAATACTCTCACTCTGCGTCTTAATAATGCAAACCCAGACGCGATAATATCAGTGAAATCACATCACATGCAAATTGTGATCATGTGCTGTCATTTCTTGCACATTTTACTTGGAATTTTTGGTGTAAGAATGTTATTATTCCATATCATATACATTTATGTTAGCTGACACTGCTATTCACTGTTTAAACATCTCAATCTTACTTAATGAGGAAGCACTTTGTGGAATGACTGGGATAAAATATTTGATACCAAAACTATCCAGACTGACAGGAGGTGAATCAGCTTGAAAAAGAAAATTCATTCAATAATTTCAGTAGGGCTGGGGAATATGGCCAATAATTATTTCACAATAAAAGTTTCCACATCAGTCAGTATCAATAATTTTCACAGTTAACGTTGAAATATAATTTCTTTTGAGTTTAAAGACACTCTTCTTTATGGACAGAGAATGAGGAACTCTTGATAAACTGCAAAAAACTCTGAGGTAGTTTAATTATGTTATATCTCCCCTCTGTGCTTACATGATACATATATATCGATTATATATTGGACTAATTATTGATAAGTATTGTTGCTCAGCCCTATGTGCCAAACATCAAACTTGCAGCATTTTGTTAATACTGCATTCAAAGTCCTTTAATTGTATTCATTTTGTTTGTTCCCATAATGATCAATAAACAAAAGTTTACTTTTCACAAAAACTGTTTCCTCTGTAACCAAGTGACTTATTTATTTTAGTAGACAAATTAATGGAAAAACACAAAAGAAACACCTGCTCTAATTTTCACAGTGCATAGTTTTTATGCATCCCCCCCATTAATAAATACAGTGTTGAAATCTACTTCATCCATAACCTATTGCAGCACTAAACTTGCCTGTGCCTACAATAACCTGTCTTTGTTCTACATTTATCTGTGTATAATTTTTATTTGCTGTAACATTTTACAGTGTATTGCTACATGGCTCATATTCTTTACTAGAACCGGTAAAGTTCCATTTTATCCAAGAAGTACAAAGTCAGGAAACATCTTACACAGGCGAGAGCAGCTATTCAGTGAAATTAAATCCGGCCATTTGTCTTGGACCATAAATGCCAGCTCAACATTTTCACGTAAGGACTGCTAAAGGACATATTCTACCCTTTCCTCTTTTAATGAAATGTCAGGCTATTGACCTGTCTTTCTCTTCGATGCTAATTTGCCACCCTCTTTGACCTTTCACCCCTGTCCCTGTGATGTTTCAGAGCCTGTGGAGGTCACTGCACAACCTGAAAGATGTCGGCGTGGTGCAGGTAAAGGTCATCAGGGCGGAGGGACTGATGGCGGCAGATGTCACAGGTAAGATGGCAACCTTAGGTTCAAACGACAGGATAGTAACCTCTGTAGTTCTTGTTCACGTTGTCAGAAGCTGTGCCTTTGATTTTTCATCTTTATACTCACACTTTTACTTTGCTCAAGTTTTGGAGCTCGACATTGACCAATTTCCATGGTGTGTTTTCCTCTACCAGTAATCTTCCATAAATCTATAGCCAAAGATAAAGTCAGGGTGTAATTTTGGTTAAGGGATGATCCTGTGTGAGAATCCTTAGAGAGAGTTAAAGTCGACTTTGTGCAGGTCACTAAATTTGTCTCTACATTTTTAGAAGAAGATGCTGGCTGCTCATTTGAATAATAGAGAAAAAGTACACATTTGAACCAACAAATCTCCCTCCCTCCTCCCTCCCTCCCTCCTCCTCTTTCCCTGCTTGCTCTCTCTGAATCCTCCATTCTCCATTAATTCTTACTTTTAATTAGGTCTACAGTGGACAGGGCTAGTTTTTCACTCTGTATTATCTAGTAGAAAGAAGAAGTGTGTGTGTGTGTGTGTGTGTGTGTGCGTGTGTGTGTGTGTGTGTGTGAAAGAGAGAAAGTCTGGAGTTTCTCTTCATTTGAAGCAGACACAGTACCATTAGCCAATACGGACTGGAGCTGGTTGATTTGGGTTATTGCGTGGAGCGACCGGAGTGCAGGGCTAATGGCTCTTGTATTTTACTCGGAGCACAAATCTGCTCCATGACCTCGTTGTAGAGCTCATCATTCAGTCTGAACTTCATGGATCCTCGTTAAAAAAAAAGTGGAATTACATTCAAATGTCTATTGGTTGTTTATTTGATTTTCATTCGTTCTCTGTAAACTTGACGTGGTCACATGTTTGATTTCAGAGCAGTTTTGTCACAGCCTGTTGTGAAAATGAAATTATTGTTCCAGGTTCACTTTACTGTAACTGACGACATTTGAGTAAAAAGTTAACACGACTTCCGACTTGTTGGTCTTGGGAGAGCGATCCCTTGCTTGTGACCCTCTGAGGTTTCTTTGTATTTTTTCTTTTGCTGTTTAAAATGTTTTATTTGGGGGGGGGGAATTTTCCTCAGTCTGCTCGAGGGTCACGGATAGAGGATGTCACACACTCATGCTATGAGGCAAACTGTGTTTTGTGAATATTAGCTACACAAATAAAATTCGTTTGGATTAATTGTTGACATCAACACATGGGAACGTGTTTAACCTGACAAAGGATACCTTTTTACTGAATGTGTGGACATTTAAAATGATGAGAAAGGAAGAAAAAAGATTCACACTTCTACCTTCTTACAGATACAAAGGGAATATTTTTCTTTTTTCTTAGAAAATATTTTCTTTCACAAGTAGATACAGTACAAGATCTCATACAGATAAGAGACAAAAAGCCAAAGAAAATTCCAGTTTTTTTTTAGTGAAGCTGTGTGTCTGTCTGTGTGTGTCTGTGTGTGTGTGTCTGTGTGTGTGTGTGTGTGTGTCTCACTGGCAGAAACAATAGCTCTGTGTGAGAGCCTCGTAAGAGCCCTCGCCGCATGAACACCCTATTTTAACATCCCAGACCAAGAGAGGGTCAGGAGCAAGGTGAGAGAGAACAGGCGGACAGACAAACAGACGCACTGAGAGCGAGAGAGGGAGAGGAGGTCAGTGAGCGAAAGAGAGTTCACCCTCTCTCTCCCATTCATGCTGCCTGTCTCCTCTCCTGTCTTTTATCCTCTCTCTCTCTCTCTCTCTCTCCCCTCTCTCCATCTCTCTCTCTAATTGAAGTGTTTTTGTGGAGTAGCTCCTCTCCAGGCCGAGTAGGATAACTGAAAATAGTCTCTAAAACCAACAATCCCTTTTGTCTGCCAGCTCTTGTCCCTCTGAGTGGATGCTACAGTGTTGGAGCATTTCAGAAGGAACACAGGCATAGAAACACACACGCACGTTCAGCAGCACTGCAGCCAGCATAGACTCTCTCTCAGTAAGCTGCCTGTAAAGTAAAGGTTTTTATTTGACACAAAGGGAAATACTTTAGCATATATTGCATAGTGACGTATTATGAAGTGACACAGAAATAAAACAAGAATACTGACAAAAATGCAACTGATTTACATTTTAAAGTCTGAATAATAATTAATTTTGATTGCTCGGAAACACGAGAGCATGCATTCCCTCTGTAACCTCACCCCTCACCAACGCTAAGCTTCCTGCGAGGCAATTACAGCGTGCTCCTTCATCTCCGCCACTGTATTCATCCTCCACATTTATCTTAGGGCGCCCTGAAATGAGTGCGAGCCCACTCGTCCCCGCAGACCCCCAGCCAGCACCACGGAGACGGGACCCAGAGGATGGGGGGTGCTGTGCTCGGACATTACCTGGATGATCGCTGAGTGGCGCTCAAACCTGAGCGTGTAATTTGTTAAGACAGCTGCCTCTGGTGATGGTGGCCAAGAAGGTGAAAGTTCATCACCAACGACAACTGGGTCTCTGCGGAAACACAGCATGCCGTGTCATTAAAAGCAAAATATTAGAGAGAAACTTGGGGAGGGACGAGCTTCAGCGCAGATAATTTCCATTTCTTAATTTGCGTGATTGCATATAAATTTAATGAGACCAGATTTGTTTATGCTGTGAAGGATCTGGGATGATGAAAGAGGATTTATATTTTTCACTACTGTAAAAATACTGAATGAAACTGCTCCTAAAAAAATATTTGCACTTATTGACAATTTAAAAAAAACATTTTTATGTGTAGAGTGAGTTTTCATTTCAGTATACCGTGTACCTGGAAGTCAGACAGCTCTCGTGGCTGACAAAGTGTGAATATGGAGACGCACAGAGCAGTGGGCTCTTGATTCTGTTGTGTTTTGTGTATTTTAATGTATCTGTGTTTCTGTCGTAGGAGTCGTAGCTGTCAATATCCACTTCAAACGCTCCACATCAATAGAGCGCCACAAACGGATATGAAAGGCAACACCTACGGCTCAGCATTGATCACAGTGACATTTACTTTGCACGCCCACTAAATGTCCTGCCCTTGTCACAACATTTGAAGAAAATCACACCAATCAATGACACACTCACTCACACAAATTTCCCATGACACACACACACACACACATTAATGTGAGAGGGTGGGGGGTTTTGAACTCAATCCCAACTTTTACCGACTCTTATTATGCAACATCGCTGCTTTACTAACGTTTTTTTTACATCCTCAGTATTGTCCCAGGAAATTTTCGTAGGACATATTTATTTTTTAACTTCCTGACCCAGCCTTTTCAAGTGATAAGCTTGAACAAACAGCTCAACAGCTCCCAACAGTTTTAGTTAAAAGAAACAAAAAACCCTGTAATGATCAAAGGCTGAATTAAGAGTTGTGTTGTTTTTTTAGTTCATTTCGAGGCGGTTGACGGGAGGCGTGGGGAGCTGATCTCAGTCCTTTCTGCGTACAGAGAAACGGAAATGTGAGACGTTAGTAAACAAATAGAGAATATATAGGACATAGTACAGTACGCTATTCTCAGGAGGACGACATACGTTTGTGATCATGTTTCTTTTTCCTCATCTCCGTCTCGCTCACCTTCTCTCTACCCCGTTGCTTAACAAGAGTAAATTGTGAATTGAAGGTTTAGTTGGAATGAATTAGCATTGATGAATATGATTTATAATGAGCCATATATCATTATTGCTTTATGATATTGAAGAGTCTTAAAAGTTCTCACACGGTGTAGTAAAGTTTTATCTTTCGCAGCGACAGGCCACTCAAATGATTTTATGTGTGATCCTTGAGTTTTTAAAATGATTTACTCTGGAGGATAAATCTACGTGTGGATGTATGTTGTTCTTTTTTATTATTACTGTAAAATATCACTTGTTATATTAATGAAATTAATTAATGAAATTGCTGCCACGGAGTTGAATTCCAAATCTGTCTCTGCAGAAATGCAATGAGGAAATGTTTTCTCTGTCGTTCTTCCATCATTTAAATCTCACATCATTCTTTCCTTCACGTCGTTGCCGCTGCCGTGTCACTGCTCGCTCTGGAATCGCTAATCGTGGACCAGCTCTGTTTCTCACCACCCTGCTCCGCTCTCTTTATCTCCTACTCTGAACTTCTGTGGCCTTCAGAGCCACGTCGCCCTCTGTGTTCTCAGCACCATCCATTCTCCAAATCTTCTGTCTGCTCTCTCTCCCACCCCCTCCTCGTGAGTGCCGAGGGCACAGTTGTCCTGGAGCTTATCTTCTAGTCGTCCATGTTCCCAGGGTGTTGATAGAAACGGCTTGCAGCTGTTCCACTGATATACTGTTGTATAATATATACGACATCAGGGCTAAAAATGAAAGAATCATATTATTGCAGTTGTGATAAGTCCAGAGTATCAGAGCTGTGATATGCTATAAGGGGCGGATGCTGTATATAAGATCTGTTTTAATATGATGGATTTGAGATGGACTGCTGGAATTACTGAGAATTCTTGCTTTCCTTGAAACCTCAAGCTGACGGGACTATAGTGTCCGCAGTGTGTATTTCTCTCTCTTCCCTGAGAAGGTCATTCTTGTATTTGTGCTCCGTAGGTAAGAGTGACCCGTTCTGTGTGGTGGAGCTGAGTAATGATCGACTGCAAACTCACACCGTCTACAAAAACCTCAACCCAGAGTGGAACAAAGTCTTCACTTTGTGAGTGGAGTGTGTTAATGCACACGGACAGTTTGTATTCACAACAGTGATGAAAATAAAGATTGATTATTTTTTATTTTAGTTTTTAAACTGTCTCTCTTTTTTTTTTTACTTCATATCATTCAATAGTTTATCTGTGTTTTGTAATAATTGCTTATTTATAGTGTTTGCACACAAAACTCAAATTCAAGTTTTATTATTAGATTATAATATATATTATTATACGTTTTCATGTAATCCTACATAATTTTTGGTTTACAAATACTGTGAATGATTCATGGTAAAAACTTTCAGTAATGGTACAAATTCATTTTGACTTTCTCTGAGTGCACATCCTCATATCCTGCTTTCTATACATACTTCAGCCATATTCTCTCTAGCCTTGTTTTCAAATGATGAGACGTCTGAGCTTCACACTTGAGTTCTACTTGGCTCATGCAGTAATGTAGCGCAATATCACATAAAGCATGTTAATGAATTTTAATCATTTATGTAAATGCTTTAGAGGGTTTTCCAATATGAGGCAGTTTTATGCCTCAAATGGCGTTTAACACTGTTTCCTTTAGTGTCTTTAATATTTAAAGAAGTGTGATCGCTTTCACACATTTTGAGTTTGTCGCCCTTCTGTTAAATATGTCAGTGATATTGTCTTTGTGTGTGGTCCAGTAACGTGAAGGACATCCACTCGGTACTCGAGGTCACCGTTTACGACGAGGACAGAGACAGAAGTGCAGATTTCCTGGGGAAAGTGGCTATTCCTCTACTAAATGTGAGTCAAAGATAGATTTCTGTGTGTGAATGTGTGTGTTTCTTCTTCTTCTCCCCATGGGGATAGCGGATAGAACATAGAGGAACAGTAAGAATGAAAACACACAGTGGAAGATATAAAAAGCAGAGGTTATTTTTGCAACTCCACAGATGAGACTGTTATTATTTCACAAAGAGATAGAGATGACAGGAAGGAGAAAAAAAATTAAGAGATGCTGAGGAAAAAAACATAAGAGATTGATAGGTGAGAAGAAAGAAAGTCAGGGGCTGGAAGATAATGTGAAAATGACACTGATCGAGAGATAGAACGATGTGATTTGGAGAAAAAAAGAATGAAGAGTGTCTCTTATATTTTAGAAATATATGGCCGCTGAAAGAGCCGTGTATCTAATATATCCATGCTCCGCTGTACTGTGTGATTCCCCAGGATAGTTAATTTCTGTTTGACAGAGCCGAGCTGCAGTGGGTAATGAACAGGTACTTGTCAGAGTTGCCACAGTTGTTTTGGGTTCCCTGTCACTGGCAGCAGCTGGGGTTCAAAGGTGGCCCGGGGAGCCGATTCAGCCGGGTATTGCCAGACAGACGCCTGTCATGTCCCTCTCCCACAGATCCAAAATGGAGAACGCAAAGCCTACGCCTTGAAAAGCAAGGAGCTGACAGGGCCAACAAAAGGGGTCATCTTTCTCGAAATAGACGTGATATTTAATGCTGTAAGTCTCTCTTTTTGCTTTTTTGATTCTCCTCCCTGATTTTTTTTTTGCCCTCCACCCCCATTATCCTCCCTCTCTCCCTCTCTCTCTCTCTCTCCATCCTCTCTTGTTCTATCCAGCATCCCCCCCTCACGCCGCTGTTGTCTTTATTCTGTTTGCCCCCCCCCCCTTCCCTTGCTTCCATCTCATCCCTCGTCCCTTGTCCCTCGTCCTCGTTTTGGCTTTAATTATCGAAGACTCCCTCTCAGCAGTCTTTGTTCCCCCAGTCACCATCGCTGTGTGTGTCCTGCAGCGGCCATCTTACCACTCGCTCTCTCCGCTGCTCTCACTATAGCCTCTGACACTGGGCATTGCTCTACGCATGGGCTGCCATGTAACATCAGCACTGGCTGTGTTAGAAAATCCCACTAATCGATCCAAATACAGTCCCCTTCCTCTCTATAATTTCCCTTATCTGGATCAGTGGCATTTCAATCTCACCATTTGCTGTTTGTGACACAGTGTGTGCTCCCTCCATCCTCCAGGTGAAGGCTGGTCTCAGGACGCTGATTCCCATCGAGCAGAAGTACATCGAGGAGGAGCCCAGAGTGTCCAAACAGGTACATCAGCAACCAACACTTATCTTCCACCTCTCCGCCTCGTTTTTATCTGTGTCCACCACCGTATGAGCCATTCTGCTCAGCTGTCTGAAGCAAAAACCAACAAGCCTGGAGAGTGGCATCTTGCAAAGTACAACAACTGTGTGGGCAAGATATAACAGGATGATTGAAGGAAAAACAGCGTTTCTTTTCGTTTCTCTTTTTTTTCTTCTTCTTCCCTCCTCTCTCCCTTCTCTCATCACTCCCCCCCTCGTATCCACTCTGAGTGGTGAATAGAAATGTCAAGCTGTCAGCTGTGGGGTGCATAAGTAGATTGGCTATCCTTATAGTTGGCCCTCTTTGCCACTGCTGCTTTGCACTTCATTGTCACGCCACTCAGTGTGGCGGCACCACAAAGGGCTGAATGGTAGGGGCTGGCCCACATCAGATGTGTCATATGAGTGACCGTTTGGGCTGAGCAGTCAATGCTGCGCCATGCACAGTCGAGCACAGCCGTGGTCGGCCCAGCGCGGCACAGCCGGTCCCATACCACCCTTTTGTCAGCCCTCTATATATTCCCCTCTTCCTCACTGCGTCTGCCATCTCTGCTGCTCTCTGTCTCACTGTGTCTCTCTGCTCTTCTCCCAAGTGCGGAATCTTTTTTTTTTTTCATCCATTTCACCTCTGACTCACTGAGATGACCCATGTCAGTGTCTCCCAATGATGATGTCACTGGCTGCTTTGGAGGGATTGCCCCATGAGGGCTCTTTTGTGTGGTAGGAGCTCCCCTGCCATTGCTTGCTGTTTAGTGTGCTGACACACACACACACAGAATAGAGAGGGGGAAAAAAGCACATAAGCTGCCCGCCTGCCAAATACAACCATTTAATTGCAATTATGACATTTGACTTAATAAATGGCTTCACCGCTTTTCTAAGTGTTTTTTAAGGAATAACTCAAGGCACTCTTTGAAATAATTCATGAAAAAAAAAATTCTTATCAAGGCAGTTATGGCAATAATGAGGCTGGCAGAGTACAGCGTGTACATCAAGTGCATGCGCTGAGGAACATTGAAATGGATGATTCACAGTCTTGCCGTCCTCAGGGTCTCTGTGTCCCCAGCAGGACATCATACAGTCATCCTCAGTTTGGCAACAAAAAGCTTCACATAATTATACATAGAGAATAAGGAATCCTCCTCTCATCTAGCATCAAAGCAGCCAAGCCACCCCTAACCACATGCAAATCCACCCGGAAACAGACATCCAGACAATAGATGTTTCTGTAGTGTTGCAAACATATACTTGCGTACCCACAGAACTCCCATTCACACACACAATTTTCCAAAGAGTAGAATAATGGCCTAGAATGTTATTTTGAACAGCGATCTGCGGAGACGGTGTGTCCTTCGGGAGCACTTTCTCCTGGTGGTGACCTGATTGGGTGATAGCTGTTATGCTATTCCCCAAATGGTTGCCAACCCATTGGGAGGACAGCAGTTAGCCAGTTCTCTCTCATCTCTGGCCAAATGCCTGGAGAACCCTGAGGGGGGGGAATCCAGGGGGCGTGTTGGAAATTGTTATTATTGTACTTAACTTTATCACTGGGACAGTAGACTCAAAGAAACACTGTGTGTCAGCTTGTTAGGTTTAAAGGAGCCATTTGTCCTATATGTTGATCCACATGCATGTGTAGCTGACAATGATAATGTCCTTGTGCTGTCGTCAGCACTCTGATGCTGCAACATTGAAGACAAAGTAAGGTCAATGCCACCAATCTGAAGTTGTAACTTGTAAATGTGGCAGTTTACAAAGTGACAGCAGAATGAGACACCACAGGCTCGGAACCTTCCATGAAAAGAGTTAGTGGCTGTTTTTCATTTCAAGGTTCTAAACACATTTACTTATGAAGTTGTGATGAATTCACATGTGATTTAATCAATTAAGGAGAAGTGATTTTAACAGTATGTCCTCACAAACTTTTACTTTATCAGAGAGGAACCTCATAGATTGATCACTTTGCTCCTTTAATTACTTTGTCTTTTAATAAGATTAAGCAAACAGAATATACAGTGCAGCTAATGTGGAAACATCAGAAGAGTTCAATAAGTGTTTTCACTTTACAAACTGTCAAAATGAACTATGTACACTCATTTCATAATAGAGTGATGGACCTCCATGCTGATTCCCTTGTTAGGCTGTCTGCGACTCCAGATTTACTGTTTTATCCTATTGTTCTTATTTGTAATCTATGACGTTGTTTTTCTGTGAAGCCAAATTTCAACATTGTGGACTATAAAGTTTGACCTAACATAACCTTACAGTACACTTTTTTAACCTTCGATTGTCTAAAACACGTATTTGTCTTTTTTATTGTTTTACTTTCCAGCTGCTGTTACGCAACTTTAACAGAGTCAGACGCTGCATCATGTTCCTCATCAATACTGGCTGCTACATCAACAGCTGCTTCGAATGGCACTCACCACAGAGGAGCATCTGTGCTTTTTTGGTACGTAGAAGTGAGCTTTCATATGCAGTGCCATAAACTGTAGCATATTACCCACAAATCTGAGGATTTAGCTTGAAGTCTATACTGTTTCTACATGCACTAACAAACTAGTCTGGACACACACGCAGTAGGAGCTTACACTTTAGGCATTTCTGCTAACAAAGTATGGATCCTCCACTGGTAATTGCACACTTTAACACGAGAGATTGTTGACGTCTCAAGCACAGTTGAGTACACACTGTAACCCCTTACTGCAGACTACTCACACACTAAATACGGTGATATGATGGTCTCCATTAGCTCCTTCTCCTTGCTTTGCATCAAATATACAAGCATACTTTGTGTAAACTTGATAAGTGTGTGTTTTGATGCAGTTGCAGCTTAAGCACAATCTAAATAAGACTCTCGTATATGCAAGACAACATAGAAGATGCAACTACAATCTACTGAAGTGTGACAGGCTGTGTACAGACAGTGGAAGTGGCAGCCTCTCCCGTCAGCCCTCCTCTTCAACCTCTCCTCACTCTCCACCCTCTCCCTCTCTCCCTTCCTGTCATCTGTGTCTGGTATTAAAAGGTGAAGTGTAATTGGACAGCAGAGCTATCAGTAAAAGACATTCTCCTGCAGGGCAGTGAGTGGTTGCATGGAGGTTCCTACCCTAAAGATGACAGAGCAGACATTTAATCCTGTCTGGTTTAGTGTCCCGACTTAAGCAGCTACAGGACAGGTGGCCCCGCCCCGGCCCTTTACCACGGCAGTGTTCCACGGCAGACGTTAGACATTAGCAGCATTTGGCTGTCTGTCACCAGTTTTATCTCTGCAGGGGCTGCATGTGTGTATGTGTGTGTGTTTGTACAGCAGGTCACAGTGTCATCACAAGACACGGGTCAGAAGAGACATACTATTGATCAGTTAACATTTTCCCTCTGTGTGTGTGTAAGCCTGGTGTGTCGTGTGTGTTTGCATTTCCTCATGTGAGGCTGAGCGAGGTACAAGCTCCCACAGAAATAAATGAGAAAAAAGAAATGTCGGAATTCACACAAAACAAGGTCACTCCAGAATGTCCACTCTATACATGGTGAATGGAGAAAGGGAGGACGCAGCCTTGGATGGTGCAGCCTACATGTCAGAGCACAAACACATGTTGCATACCTTGTAAACCTTTTTCGTAATCATAGTTCGTAGTTCATCCGTTTCAGATTAAAAGAGCCAACTATTCATATTCTCACTGTACTCACCTAAATTTGAAGTATTCAGATGACAATAAAGGATTTATCAAGGCCAAGGACACAGCGTTTTATAGTTTCCACAAAGTCTGAAATGTAGGTGTCATTGTGGCCCCCTCCTCTCCTCCCACTTTTGGGAGTGTGCTATCGTAGGAGTATGCACTTAGCTAAAAGCATCAGAGTATTTAGGGTCTCTCCTCCACATAGGTACCCCCCCTCCCCACCCTCCATTTCTTCATCCTTTTCTCATTTCTCCCTCACTTTGAGAGGCCTCTTAATCACTTCGCTCATCTCTTTAAGTGGGTTTTTATGGGGGGCCATCTGGCCAAGGTGGTGCGTTCATAAAGGTGTGCGGCTGTGTGCAATTACGGGCACGTGTGTCTGTTCACATGTTCGCGTGTGTGTCTTGTCTGGCCGTCTCTCTACACAGATGTTCCACTTAACTTTCCTGTAGCTGCAGAGGTAGGGTCTTGGGCAATTCAACCCATAAATTTACAAAAGCGTGCAACAGCGACGCAATCCTGGTGGATATTGTGAAGGCATCGAAATGCAGTTGTCACACTTTGCTACTTCACAACGTTCCCTCAACAAAATATGCTCACATTTTTCTTCATGGTCCCCTACTCTCCTTCTGCCCATGTTCTGCAGTGCCAGCCGCATGTACACATCGTCCATTAGTGCCAGCTGTGATTTGTGTATATATTTTGTGTGTGTGTGTGTGTGAGAGAGAGAGAAAGAGAGATATCGTATAGTCTCACATGCAGCCTTTCTCTCTCTCTCTCTCACACCCACGCTGTTGTCACCCACCCATCCTGACAGTGAATCAGCCACCGTGGCAGCTTTGCCTGAGGCGTTGGCACAATGGACGGGACTGGAGTTACCTCCTGTCCTGCATGATGGGTGGTGTCTGTCTGTGTGTGTGTGTGTGTG